CACATCTACTTAATATGAAAGAAAGGGATGCACCAGAATCAAAGAGAATAACCACAGGTAAAAAATTCACCAAGAACGTACCGGTCAAGACGTCTGCCTGGTTCTCCATAGCTTGCCCTCTCGTCATGACATTGATGTGACCTTTCTGGCCACTCCTTCCCCCTCCTCTCGCACGCTGAGGTGCCAATGGCGGCGTACGACCTTGCTGCTGTGGAACCGAGGCCCTCTCAAACGTATTTGGAGCTCCAACTAACTTGGGACAAAACCTCTTGACATGTCCCGGCTCATGGCAGTAATAGCAAGTGATGGGCTGGCCATCACAACGAACTCCAGGATGAGATTTTTCACATCGGCTACAAACAGTCAGACCTCCACGATTGTCACTCGAACTCCCCTGAGTGAATTTAGGGCGAGATGCATAGGGCATACCCGAAAACCTCTCCGATTGATCATTTCACTTATAGTTCTTCAAACTCTCGCTCACCTTCCTTTTTCCTCTGTCTGCCCTGCGAACTCTATCCTTCCGCTCATCATACGCTATTCGATTTGCCCGATAGATGTTAGCGGCTTTCTCGTATGCCTCTTGAAGGGTCGACACACTAAAGCCGGCTAAAAACCACTGAAGGTCTCTATTCAGCCCACCAACAAATCTCGTCAGTTTGCACCGATCATTCGCTGCCAAATCCGGAGTGTAGGCAGCTAATTCATTAAAACGTGTGAAGTATTCTTCCACCGTCATATTACCCTGCACCAAGGCACTAAACTCATCCTCTTTTGCACTAAACTCATAAAAGCGCGCCCTTATTATTGTCTTGAATGCCCCCCACGGTAATCCAACTGAATTGCCCCCAGAAGCCTTCTCATTATTCCACCACTTATTGGCTAGTTCTTCTAAATAATATGCCGCTATCATTGTCTTCTCTCCTTCTGGGTATCTCACCACCTCAAATATAGTTTCCAAATGATCCAACCATTCTCCCAAAATAGTCAGGTCCGATTGACCAGTGAAAGTCGGAGGACTATGACGTAACACTGCATCCATAGCACTCCGGGGCTGCTGAGTGAACTGTCCCATAAACTGACGAAAGATCTCCAATGTTGGGTCTGATAGTCGAACGGGACTCTGAACTGGAGGCTCAGGGTTTTGGGATTGCCTACTCTCAACCTCTTAATTGGAATCAGGTGTCACAGGTGGCTGACGAGCACGCCTAGGGGGCATCTTGCTAATTGAGACTAGACCTAATAAGCTCCAATTAGTCTGATAGCATGAACAATGCACATAAACACATGGAATAAACATAAAATGCAATGCATGCCATGAATGCACCCAAACCCGACTAAGCCCACGATCTAATTGATTTTAGAAATTTTGAAATCTTCAAGTTTTATTAACCAAGAAGCATGAGTCTTTAACCTAGGCTCTGATACCAACTGTAACACCTCGGCCGGCTCAAACCGGAGTGTCACCGCCACGCCACACCGGAAGGCTCGTTTATCAACCAACGACTCCTACGTTGTGGCGCTAAGGCTAAAATAGTAAATACCACATATCAATTAAGTAAATAAAGTTCAATTCAAAAGCATAAATTGGAAATAATTCAAAAGGCATTATTCTTTAAACATGATTAATGAATTTCAAAAGCATCGTAGAATGTAAAGTAGTTCTAATTCCCCCAATGGATCATATGACGTGAATGCATCACTTAGGTATAACGGAAGCATGATCACCTACAAAAATATTGTAAGAAGAGGGTCAACACAACGGTTGAGTAAGCACAATTAATCAAAGATAAATTAATACAGTATAATGCCACAAAATTATTTGAAGAAGATAATTGAATAAAATGAAACGTATCACATAAGGGGAACTCACACACATGAGTCTTTTAGTGCTTCCCTTATATCTCCTTTTCATTTTCAAATAATAGTGATGAGCACATCACGAAGAAAACTCCACTAGGCCTTAATCAGCGCCGGCTCGACCCGGTTTTCCAACCTTATTACTTCGTATGACACATCATGTAATTTCACATAACAAACATAGGGTCACAACCCTCAAAGGAAACTCCACAATGTGTACATAAGGGTTCGAAACCCAAAGTACACGTAAATCAATTTATTATTAGTTTGCGAGGGGCGCCATACGGTTCACAACCCTCTAGTCTCCAATATAACATACCAAGAGGGGATTGTACGCAATCCATCCCTCCATCACGGATGACGGTCTAAAGACCTTTTCATCGTGAATGACGGGCACCTCGGAATCACCCAAAAAGGGAACCTGCCATCTCGATCCCTCGTCCTAGCCCATTCGGGATCTAGTTCAAGGTTAGCTAGTTATCCGAAAATATCTGTATACCTTTATGTGTTTGCAAGACATAGATGTGGAAGGTTATGCCTTATCATCCAAACAATCGACGAGTTGATCAGACTCGACTGGTAATTTCACTTACCAATTTGACCAAATACTCAACATACTCTTAGGCAAATTTCAAAAAAAGTGTTTTAAACTCGAAGTATTCCAATTGTCAATATTTAACCATGCAAAAGTTGGATATTAGACCCAACAAGTTCGTTATAATCTCACTTTATTTCGCCAAATAAACATTCAAAAAAATGTCAATTACAAAAGGCATGGTCTAACTCCAAAAATCATAATATTTAAATATAATCGTAAATCTTTTTCGAAAAACCATAACTAGGTTAGGGCAAAACTAGGGTTTCAAACTCATTTCATAAATTCTACGATTTTCAATGTAAAATCCAATAATAATCTTCACATAAGCATTATAATCAACTTTCTAAAAAAAATTGGCAAAACCTAACACTTTTAGGGCAAACCCATTTGACAATAATTTTAAAAAAAATATCAATAGGAAGGGTCTAGGGATTAGAACATATCAATCTATCTAGAATTAATCCCACTTACTCAAGAGAAGAGACCAAAAGGAAGAGTTTGGAGAAGAAGAACTCCAAGGAAGAACAGGGGGCTGGCGGCGGCGCTGGCTGGCGTTCTGCTGCTGCTTCCTTTTTTTTTTTCTTTTTCTTTTTTTTTTTTTTATTAAACATAAAATACTTAGGTCTTTATTAATTATTTTACCCTACTTTGGCCCAAACTCAATTTTTACTCCCAATTTAAACCTAATTCTTAATTTTTTACACTAAAAGCCCAAAATAAATTAGGCCCAAAATAAAATTTGCCTGACTCCGAAAGACTTCCGGCGATTATTTTACGGGGTATTACAGGGAGTGAATTTGTGACCGTGAGGTTATTGATTCAAATTCCGATATCTCCAAGTTACATATGGTTCGTCTAGTGTGACTTGCCTTGTCGAACCTAGTTTGACTTGTCTTGTCGAACCTAGTTTGCAGGGTATTAGGTTCAGCCGATGAATTATTCATTGTGCACTTTCGGGTAGCGATTGCGGGTTCTTACATTATCAAAAGAAAAACGTAGAGATGAAAAATAATAAACAAACAGTTCATGAACAAAGCTCGGTTCAGCTCGTTTGTATTCGTTATTAGCTCGTTCGCTAAGTTAAACGAGCCGAGCTCAAACAAAAAAAATAGCTCATTTTTGTTAATAAACGAACACGAGCCATGTTCGCGAAGGTTCGATAGTGTTTGTATATATTTGTTTAGAGGGGTAAATTTGTCATTCAGATTATGAGGTTTCATTATAGGATTATTTTGTCATTAACTTCCTAAAATTTTTCAAGGAGGTAATTTTGTCAGTTTCATAAATTTTATAGCACAGTTTGTAATCTCTATTATTTCTCTATGTGTTTTATATTCTTTCTTTTATCTTTCTAAGATCATCTTCAATCCATCTCGCAAAAAAGGATGGGTTCTCCGATCAACCATGCATGGGGTTGTCACCTCTGATAAGAGGGTGAGGCAAAATCGCTGCGAGATGGTGATTTGTTTTTTTAATTTTAATTTAAAACTTAATTAAAAATTGTTTTAAAATTTTATTTTTGTTTATCTATTTTATTTTTTGTGATTTTTATTTTATTATTTATAAAGTAAATTACTTTTTTATATTTATATTCTAATTTTATAATTAATATTATTTTTATATTGTATTTATTATATTTAATCAAATAATATTATATATTTTTATTCTATCTTGCATAAATATTATTTAATAATATTAAAATTTTAATTTATTTAATTTAAAAATATTTATTATTTTTTAAGATCAAATAATAATAAAAATAATTTAATTTATTAATATAATATTTAAAATATATTTAAAATTAATTATATAAAAATAATAAAATATTTGATGTTATTTGTAAAGAAAAAAAATTATAAAAAATATATATATAATAAAATATAGAGAGAATATTATTTAACCTTACAAAAATAGAGTGTATGATTGAAAATGAATTATATAGTCTGCACAAACAAATAAAGAGTATGATTTGAGATGACTTACACAAATAGAAGTATGGTTGGAGATGGCTTACTATATCACCTCCTGCAAAAATAGAAGTATTGGTTGGAGATGGTCCTGCAAAAATAGAAGTATTGGTTATTTTATGAGATTCAACTCATTTTATACTTTTCTAAGTTTATGTTTTTTTATATTATTGTAGATTCTTAATGTGTATATAATATTATGCAAATATATATATTTTTTAATTTTTTTATAATATATTTATGTGTATTTTTTTTAATACAATCAAATTTTTATTTATGCAATTTTAGAAAATTTGATTGAGCTATTTTTTTATTCAATCCGTATAGATTGACTTTTTTTGATTTTGCAAAACAAACTAATTTGAATGTATTTGTATAGATTTACATTTTGATTTTGCAAAATGATAACTCCAAATATGAGCATATTCTCTATTTAACAAAATTATGTATTACTTGAATTTCGGTATGAAAATCATCACAATATCTTATTTATGGCATACTTTATTGATCTGTTCCGTTTGGCATGGCCCAGAATTAGTTTGTTGAGATTATTAACTTTTTTGCTTTTTAAGCAGTGAATTTGGTCTAGAAAAGCTAAGGCATGAGAAGTAATCGACGGCCCTGTCCGCTCAAGAAGCGACACCTTCATCACTCATGCCAGTGACTTAGACACCTACCGCAGCGAAGCGACGACAACTCACTCCAGATAATGCCTAAGTGTCCACCCCGCAACGGAACAACCATTCCACTACCAGCCAGCAAAGATAGCTCCGCTTAGTTGCGCTGATGCGCTCTAGCCATCTGGGCAAGTAAGGAAGATCTGCGGCCCTACAAGCCAAAGCAAGCAAAGCGAGCACCTTGGGAGTTATGGTCAGCGCAACCGTTTCAACAGAATAACTGCCGCCAACTACCCAACTGCTCAGCGGTTGAAACCAATTCTCAACTGCTTGCAACTACTATTTCAATTAGTTATAAATATGGCCTGATGTCTATTGTAAAAACATACTTCGAGATGAGTATACACTCATATCTTCTTGCGCAAATTTTGTAGCTGTCTTTCTGCCTTCCAAGAGCTCCTAACCTTGCAAGGGAGTTCTAAGCAGGAATGGCTAGGGGAGTTGAAACTTTTCTCCTCCTTTGGCCGCTACTTTACTGTTTTTTAGTTCTAATTTACAGCTTTGATTTACAGCTTTTATAGTAATAGAACTTCACTGTTTTTGATAGTAAGTAATGAAATATCAGCTGTTCTTCATCATCACCCCTCTCCCGTTTTCACATTCATATAAATCTGAGTTATAAAGAATCTCGAATCGCTGAGAAAGAATAGAGAAGAATCGACTATCTAAGCTTTGTTTTGCGTCATAAACAGATTCAAGGTAGTTCAATGTAGTCAAGTACGTGGGAGCCTTGTCGACCTGCTTAATTACTGATCTGAATTTGATTTTGATTAAAAAGAGGTAACAAAAGGGTAAAGCCACTAATGAGACGAAAATCAGAATGATTAATGGGGCATAGACGGTGGTCTGTTGGGTCGCAGAAATTCCTAGTGACAGTAGGGTTTCTTTCTTATAATGTTCTAATTCTGGGCGTCATTGAAGTCTTGTTGTAACTCCCTTAACGTCAAGTATCGACGATTTAAGTTCTGTATGATTCCGTTTATATGATTACATTACTTCCCCCTGTCGTCTTTGAATTATACATATATTCTTCGACTAAACACCATCCCCACTCGCTCATTACATCAGGATAATCTAGCCATTAAGGAACGCACAACCCAAATACAACGCCCCTTTTATCACCCTCCACCGCTCAAAATATATATAAATATATAACACACCCCTTCGCTCCCGTTCCCTTCCGATCACCCACCGCTTGCATTACCTTCGCTCACCATCGCATCGCTCACCTCCGCTCACCTTTACCGCTTTCCTTAATTTTTGTTATTTCTAGTTCTGAACTTGGACTCACTCCCGAGCGGGTCCCTCTATCGTTTTCTCATTGTTTTTCATTGGATTAACTCTTGATTTAATTTCGCGACTTAAAATCTCTGTGTTCGACCTGGAAACTCACCAGCTAAATAATATAAATAATTATGACCAACGATTCAGGGTCTACAACTACATATTTTTCTTTATATCTGATCGCTCACAATAGTCCACTACACCTTATTTTCGACTAAAAATTCCCTGTACTTGAATATACAAAATCGTTAATGTCACAAAACAAACTAATTTGAATGTATTTGTATATAAGCGTGTCTTCGTATATGTGTATATCTTCTTCTTTTTTGTTTTTTAGTTGTATATTATGGTTTTATTTAATCCATATAAATGTATATTTGAATGGATTAATGCGTTTTCAATTTTTATTTAAATTAATTAATTTTATTAGATATATTTTTTTTATATTATTTTTATCGTAATTATTTTTATCTACGTGAGAAGTGGAAAAAAACTGCAGATTCTCATCAGGTATATTTTAATGATAATATAAAAACATCTTTTTTAATTAATATACTATGTCTATTTTAAATATATACTACATTCGTCCAACTCTAAGGGTCTTATTTACATTTTTGCGTGTTGATCTTTAAATATTAATTTTTATATGAAAACGTAATACAAATTAAGGGAAAATGACAAAAATACTTTTATTAGTGTCTTATAATACTATTATAATGACATTTGTGCAAAAGTTTATACAAATATAAGGATATTTTTAATGTTAAGTACAATGACGTAAAAGGTAAATGAGACCCTTAGAGCCGGACAGAGGGAGTACTTTTTTTATTATTATTTTGTTTAACAGGAAATGTCATTTCATCCTTCCGACCATGATTCTTCTTCAAGTTATATGATTGATACTAATAATAAAGAAATACAACGACTTATTGATATTGAAGAATGTAATGAAGATCAAGTGCATGATGATGTTGACTTGAAAATTCTCGCTACAACTGATCAGATTGAAAATGAGAAGAGACCGAAAGAAAAAAATGATGGTGCGATATAAGAGAAAAAGAATGAAAAAAATTTGTTGTCTGAGAATATATGAAAGATGTTGTTGAAGATGATGAAAGTGTGAAAAAAGTACAATGCAAACATTGCAAAGAATTATTCAAAAAAGTGGCTAGTGGGACTACAACTACATATAAGAGACATTTGGATAATTGCATGCAAAGAAAATTGGCGATTGGAGAAAAAGATAAGCAATATGTGTTATATTTTACCACAGATTTAGTTTCTGATGGAATAACTTCAATTAGCTATTACAGATATGATCATGCCAAGGTACGAGAGCCTGCTTCTCACATGATTTTAGGTCATAAATATCCCTTTGCAATGATAGATCATGTAATTTTTAATAAGAGGAAAAGAATGAAAAATTTGTTGAAATGTTTTATTAGAGTTAGTATCATTACTGATTTGTGGAAATCCAATCAAAAAGTTCAGTATATGGTAATAACGGGATATTTTGTGGATGCGAGTTGACTACTACAGAAAAGAGTTTTAAATTTCTGTAATGTCTCACCTCCACGTACAGACATTATCATAGCTTGTGCTTTTACTAGGTGTTTTATTGATTGGAGAATTGAGACTAAAATATCTAGCATCACTGTTGATAATGCTTCGTATAATGATGTGGTCGTGAAAAGGATAAAATATGATTTTTTGTTAAGAAAAAAAGTTGAGTATTGAGGGAAAGATATTTCATGTTCGATGTTGTGCGCATATTCTGAATTTATTGGTACAAGATGGTCTTTGTGAAATCGGTCATGTAGTTGATACTGTTTCAAGAAGGAATCAAGTTCATTAATGACTATGAGGCCCATCACATTGAGTTTAGCAAAATTAAAAAATATGTTCAGATGTCTTCTAAAAACTTATATCTTGATTGCCTGACACGTTGGAATGGGACATACATGATGTTAGCTTCTTCCTTAGAGTTCAAAGATGTGGTCTCTAGATATGCTGACATTGATCCTGGATTTTCACTATGTACCCCAGAATGTTAAATGGATGCAAGTTGAAGAAATTTGTCAATTTGTGGTTGTTTTCCATGAAATAACTAATATGATTTCAGGATCGCATTATCTGACTGCAAATATTTTTTTACCAGAATTATATAGAATGAAAGAGCTTTTAAATGAAACCTTATTGGATTCTTCAAGCCATATGAGGACGATGGCCACAAAATGACAATGAAGTTTGATAAATATTGGGGGATAGTAATATTTTGCTCTCATTGGGTGCTATTTTGGATCCGAGATATAAAATGGAGTTGATTTATTTTTCTTTTCCTAATTTATTGTGAAGAAGCAGCCCCTAAATATTCTAGAGATAAAACAGATTTTGAATGATTTGTATGTTGAATATGTTATTGCGCTTAAATCATCTTCTACAAAAGTGTTCGTGCTCAAACGTAAGAGTGATTAATCTTCTACTAGTTGCGGTACATTGAGATCTACTAGACTTGAAAAGAATATTCTCACAGGAAAATAAAATTTTCAGATGCACATGAGTAAATTTGACAAATCTCCACCACAAAAGTCGGATTTGGATGTTTATTTTAGTGAGAGTTGGTACACATGCGATGCGAATGCAAATGTTGATGTTTTAAGTTGGTGGAAATGAGAAATATGGAGATTTTGAATATTGTCCAGAATGACCGGTGATTTATTGTCAATTCCATTAACTACAATGGCTTCGGAGTCTACTTTCAGTGCCGGTGAAAGAGTTATTGATGATCGATGTGCTTCTATTTCAGTTGACACTGTGAAAATGCTACTATGTGCTAACGATTGGATAAGAAATTTGCATGGGCTTACAAAAATGAATTCGTAAAAGGTACTAAATTTTAATATATATTTATTTAGCATAATTTTTTAATTCATGAGCTTACTGTACTAAAATTATTTGTAGGAGATATCGGCGACCCTGAAGTTTTTTATTATAAAGAAATTATACTTTTGGATTGAGTTGGAAATATATATTGGTTTGAGTATATTACTTTTTTTACCTATTAATTTTTTTTATTATATTTAAATTCTATACTTTTTAATATTTGATATTTAATTATTATTATTTTTTATATGTAGATGTTTGGATTATAAAGTTATACTCTCTCCGTCCAACTACAAAATATACATATTTTATTTTGGGACGTCCAATTACAAAATAACTATTTCATTAAATACCACATTTTTTTCACAAATACCCTTACTTTACATCACATTATTAAGGACAAAAATGTCATTATACTATTTTTATCTATCAACTATAATTAAAATACTATTATTTCTTAAAGTCCGTGCCAGATGTATATTTTTTGTTTGGATGGAGGAAGTATAATGGTTCATATATTTTTTTTTTCATTTTTAAAATTTCTTATTATATTTAAATTTTTTAAATTTTTTAATCTTTGATATTTATTAATAATTTATTTTTTTATATGCAAGTGTCTGTATTTTTTAATATACTGCATTCTGAAAAATTAATTATATTTTGTAGTTTAAGTGCTTTGTTTTAATATGGAAGCATTTGAATTGATTTATTGATGGTTGCATGTTGCTTTTACAATTGTTCGTTTTTATTTAGTTAGATGATTTGAGTGTTTCAACTGATTTATTGATGATTGTATGTTTTTTGTTACAATTGTTTGTTTTTATTTATCTTAGATAATCCATATTTATTATGTTGGCGAATATTTTATTTAATTTGTATTTTTTTTTTTTTTTTTTTTTTTGTGACTGGTAGTATAATAATTTGATTAAATCTAAATTGTTTATAAATGATTGAGCCTAAACAAGCCGAATTTGAGCTCGAATAGAGTTTATTTTAGCTAAACGAGTCGAGACGAACTCGAGCTCACAAGCCGAATTCGAGCTCAAACAAGTTTATTTTAGCTAAACGAGCCGAGCCGAACTCGAGCTCGAGCTCCTAAAATTCTTAACGAGCCGAGCTCGAACACAATTTTTAGCTTGTTTTTCTTAACAAACGAACACGAGCCAAGCTGAAATAATAAACAAGCCGAGCTCAAACAAGCGAAGCTAGACTCGTTTACAGCTCTAAAAATACCTCTAATTTTTACAAAAATATTAATATTATCCTTCTCACTTTTACTAATTAATAAAATATTATTTTTAAATTTATTATAATGTATACTTTGACTCGGGATGG